AGTGACATACGCATTACATCATCTCCTGGTCCCAGTTGTTTGATTTTTTTTCTGACAAAAAAAAAAATTTGCCAGAGAGTATGTGTGCTCATCAGAGAGAGACAGAGAAAGGGTAAGGGAGAAAGTACCCCCTAACGGGGCATGGTCAAGCTTCAGTCCCTTCTCTATTTCTCCATCCTGTGGGGATTTGGAACATGCACACACGCAAGACTGGTGTTTTTCAATCCACTGCAGCTGGGATTCAAAAGGCTTAGTCAGGGACCAACGGGTGGTACAAAGGTTGGGGCAGACATGGCTGGCTCCATGAGTTGAGTCCCAAACCCAGTGGCTTGAAAATCACACCAGGCACATGTACCAAAATCCCAAGAGATAAATGGAGAAGAAGGGATTGCAGCAAAGTCATTCCCCTGGAGGGTAATTTCTCTTTCTTGTGGTTTCTGTCTCTTTCTCTCTCCAGTAAGTGTATGTGCTAGATAGCCAACTAAAACAGACAAACAAAAAACAACTTAATTGCCATGTGGTATTCAGCTCCCTTAACTGCTTGGCCACTGGGCCACCGGTTCTTTGATTTTAAAAAAAGAATTTTACTTCTAGTTATCTGCAGCTTGAGGGTTACTCCACCATTACTGAGAGGAGCTCAGTTAGTAAACTGTATTTCTAGTCCAGTCATTTCTTCCTAGCTCCAGCTCCACCTACCCAGGAGCCTATTGGACACCTCCGCTTGGGTGTCTGTAGATACCTCAAATTCAATAAATCAGAAACATCTCCTCCTAAAACCTCGTTCTTCAGCTCCTCAACTAATGAGTCCAATGTTATCTATACCTCAGTTATTTGTCTTCCCTTCCCAAAGTCCAATTGATTCTACTTAAGAAACATTTCCAGGGCCAGCAGGTGGCGTAGTGGTTAAGGGCGCTGGATTCCCATATGGCCAACCACGGTTTGAGTGCAGGACTTAACAGCTTGCTTTCTCACTTTTCCTCTTTCTCTCTCACCCTCTGTACCTCTCTGGTCAAATTAAAATAAGTAAATAAAGTTAAAAAAATTTTTAAGTTAAAGAAAATAATCCTTAAAAAAAATTTTAAAAAGAAAGAAAGAAAGAAAGAAAGAAAGAAAGAAAGAAAGAAAGAAAGAAAGAAAGAAAGAAAGAAAGAAAGAAAGAGAGAGAAAGAAAGAAAAAACATTTCCCCATTGGGAGCCAGCAGGTGGCATAGTGCTTAAGGCACTGGACTCCCACATAATCTACTCTCCGATTTGAGTCCTGAACAGGTGACTTGAAAATCACAGCAAGTCAGCAGGTGAGGCAGTGGTGAAGGCACTGAACTCCTACATGGCCACCCATGGTTCCTGTTCCATTCCCAGACCTGGTGGCTTAAACTCACACCAGGTGCATGTGCATGCATGCCCAAAGTCCCAGAAAGAGAATGGAGGAGAAGGGATTGCGGCTTGGGCACCCTCCCTGGGGGGTGATTTCTCACTCTCTCTCTCTCTTTCTGTGTCTCTGGCGAGAACATGCTCCCTATAGCAAAATATCTCTTTTAAAAAAAAAAAAAAGAAAGAAAGAAAAGTACACTAGGCATTTGTGCTTATGTTCTCCATATCTTGAAATTGGAGGAGAAGAGATTGTGACATGACCATCCTCCCTGAGGGATGATGTCTCACTTTCCCTCTCTTTTTCTCTCTCTCTCAGGCAAGTGCACACCCTGTGACAAACAAGGAAAGAAAAGAAAATATCTCGCTGTCTCTTATCTATCTCTACAACCTCTTGAACTCCAATCCAATACAGAACAAAGACATTATGCCTGTTGCACAAAAGCATTCATGATCTGCCTTCCACCACTCTCTTTTCTGCCTCTCCCCAGTCTTCCTACACACACACACCCTGCATTCTACGTCAGGGTTGAAAACACAGACTCCTACTGCAGCCAGGCAGATAAGTCATGTGCTTGAGTAAAGCAGGATGGGTCAGAGCCATGATAAACGTTAGTCATCTTAGGTAATGGATACTCTTCTCAGCTGAGTGTCCACGGAGGGATGCAGGACCTGTATTGTTGGATCTTTCAATATTTTAAGGAAAGTCAGAAAACCAAATATTCACAAACCATCTTCTAATTTTTATATATGGACAATGAAATAATATGTATATAGATGGGACCAGCAGTTGGCGTAATGGCTATGTCGCTGGACTCCCACAAAGTCGACCACGGTTCAAGTTCCATACCCGGTGGCTTAAACTCATGCCAGGCACAAGTGTGTGCCCAGGATCCGGAGAGGAGAATGGAGGAGAAGGGATTGTGGTGTGACCATCCCCTCTGGGGGGTGACTTCTCACTTTCTGTCTCTCTGTCTTTCTGGTGAGCACACGCGCCCTATAGCAAAAAAAAAAAAAAAAACTCTCCAAAAAAAGAAAGAATATGTATATAGAGAAAATGTAAGGCAAACAAAGTATGCCTGCCATGGGCCACTATTTAGTCAATAATAATATTCAGGGGGGTGGCAAGGTGGCGTGGTGGTTAAGGACGCTGGACTCTCACAAGGCCGACCACAATTCGAGTCCCTAACCTGGTTTCTCACTTTCTCTCTTTCTCTCTCTCCACTCTGTCCCTCTCTGGTCAAATTAAAATAAATAAATAAATGAATAAAGTTAAATACAATAATTAAAAAAAAATATTAGAAGATGGTAGGGACCGCAGGTGGTGTGGTGGTTAAGGCACTGGGCCCCTATATGGTTGATCATGGTTCACATCCTTCACCCAGCCCCTTGAAAATCATGCCCAGAATGTGTGGGTACATGCCCAAAATCCAGAGAGAAGAATGGAGGAAAAGAGATTACAGTGTGGGCATCCCACCTGGAAGGTGATTTCTCACTTTTCCTCTTTCTATCTTTTTCTGGCAAGCTTACACTTCCTATGGCAAAACCCTTAAACAAATTTTGTAAAAAATGGGGACCAGCAGGTGGCACGGAGGAAGGTGCTGGACACTCCCACATGGCCAACCACAGTTCGAGTCCCAGACCTGGTGGCTTGCTTTCTCACTCCCCCCGCCCCTGCGCCTCTCTCTGGTCAAATGAAAATAAATGAATGAATAAATAAAATAAATCATTATTTTTAAAAATTGTTTTTAAAAAAGTATTCAAGTCTCCTGAAATTCCCTATATAGGAAATATACTTCAATATTCTGTTCTTTCTACACAGGGTATCTTTCTTATCCTCTGCCCTTGCTGAATTTCTTTTTGTAGATTCCTCATCCCCAATTCAGTCAGAATCAGTAGCCCTCGTCTGGGCCCTTAGTCTATTGCAGTGTTTAATGCATATTGTGGTATGGCTATTTGTCCTAAAAAGCGCTCCTCAAAGGCACGGAATATATACATTATATATGAATGTAATATAATACATACACATACCTAGCGGGTGCTTGACACACAGAAGATTCTCTGGAAATATTTGTTGAATAAAAGAAGTTTGCTGAGATTATGTCTTGGAGAAGTTGTCGGCGGAATACGGTCAATGATCCCCGATGACCATTAGGGGGCAGACTGAGTCCACAGCTGTCTGGACCAGGTATCCGCGGTCAAGTGCTCCAAAATCTTCTCCCCAGTTTATGCTTCCAAAAGTCGCGTCTAAGCCATCTCCCACCACCACCACAGACCCCAGTAACAATCCTCAGCGCAAAACAAACACAAAACACGCATTTCGGGAATGGCCCTGAGGTCACTCCTCTACCCCCGGCCCTTCACCGCGCTCTCCACCTTCATCCAACCACTTGGGAACTGAAGAGTTAACTCGGCCCTCCCACCTGGTCATTTTTCTTCGGCTAATCCACGCAACCTGGCAGGCGGCGGGGTGGTAAGGGGAGCGGAATCCTAACCCGACTCTGGAACGCGCACTCCGGGCTGACCTTCTACTGTAATGCCTTTCCAGAAACCTGTCACCCACCCAGAGTCAACGTCTACACACGTCTTTTCCGGCCAGGATCCTAAGCCCGCACCCCAGAGGGGACCAGGTCGGAGAGGAGGGACAAAGCGGGCCGGGCGCAGCGGTCAGGTCAGCGCTCCTTCCCGTCCCCGCGAGGGCGCCCCTTGGGCGGGTGCCGCTCTCCGCCGACGAGGCCGTTGGGCAGCGGGAAGCGGGAAGATGGTGTGCTGAGAAAGCCCGCGGGCCAGAGGGCGGGGAGGGAAGGGTTAAAGATCCAGGATTGGCTCTCGGTCGCGGAGTCTGGGAGGGGAAGCGGCCGGGAGGAAGGGTTCGAAGCTTGGCTCGAGTCCTCGCCAGTCCCCCCCGGTCGGCCGGAGACTTGGGCCGGCCGGACACCCCTTCTGGCACGCGCGCTGGGCCGGCGCTCAGGCTCGCCTACGAGCGCTTGCACTCCCCTTTCCTCCCTCGCGCGCCCTCTCCCACCTTTCTCCCGGAGCGCTCGCTCCCTCTCTCTCTCACGCAGACACTCGCGCTCTGGTCCTCTCCGGCCCCGCGCTCCCCTCGCGCCCACCTGCTCCGCGGCGCCCACGGTGCACCCCTCTGCGGCGTGCAGCGTCTGGCACGCTCGCCCCGCCTGCTGCGCTGCCCTCGAGCCCC